AGACAGAGAGACACAGACAGAGACAGAGACAGAGAAAAGAGAGAAAGAAAAAGAAAGAAAGAAAGAAAGAAAGAAAGAAAGAAAGAAAGAAAGAGAAAGAAAGAAAGAAAGAAAGAGAAAGAAAGAAAGAAAGAAAGAAAGAAAGAAAGAAAGAAAGAGAAAGAAAGAAAGAAAGAAAGAAAGAAAGAAAGAAAGAAAGAAAGAAAGAAAGAAAGAAAGAAAGAGAAAGACTGGCTATGAAGCTCAGGCCTGAGTTCAATTTAAAAAAAAATCCACCATGGAGAGTGACTATGAGACTGCAGGTAGTCAACCAGAAAGGTCGTCACTCAGACCTGGTGTCTCTTACCCAGGCAATGCCAGATGGGCTGACTTCATACAGTGGAGAACTTTAGGGCTTTGCCAGAATTTCTAGGAAAGTCCAAAAGTAGCTCAACAAGGGTAGTTTCTGAGTGAAGCAGTCCGTAAGCCCTCTTCCTGTTAAAGACACCCATGGTTTAAAATGAGGATTGTCCTCTTCTGTCCTTGCTGATAGGGTGGACTCTGGGGAAGTCTGGAGAACAACCTGGAGGTTCCCACTGAGTGGCGCCCTCTCACCGACCCCTATGGCCACCACAGGAAGAGGAAGAGACTGAGTGATGGCCAGAACAGTGGAAAGTAGGGACACCTGGGAGCTGGGACCCAGCTGTCCCAACTGCACAGCAGGGTGTCTGTGTCCTGAGAGGCATCCCTCATACGCAGCCTCCACCCCTCCTGAGAAGGTGTCCCTTCCTCAGGTCACTCATGCGCTCCTGACTATCAGCCAGCCTGCTGACCTTGGCCTAAGGGACACGATTTGCCATCCTTTGATCCCGAGCGAAGCATGTGATTTGGTCTGACACCAGGGGAAAGGCTGAGCCTGCAGGCACTGCGATCCTCTTTCAGGAAGCTCCTCCTGGAAGATGCGCTCACCCAGATCTCTCTGGCAGTCACTTCTTGGGGCACACGCTCACCCATGTGGCTGGCATTCTCAGAGCATCAACAGCCTCAACGTGGAGACAGGAGCTTCTGGTGAGGAAATGACAGGGAGTAAGAGAGAACCCAAGTCCCAAACATCCGTTAGCAGCTGACATGAGCCTCTCCCAAGAGGCCGCCACTCCAAACATCACTTCCCACATCCACGTCACTATTCTCGGTGACCTGGAGAGAAAACCACACAGTGCCCCCACATTCTGGCTTACCTGCTGATTTGCAGTCAGGAGAACTGAGCAGGGAGAAGAACTTTCCAGTCAATCTATGGATGACATAGCAGAGCATCCTGCACAGGGAGCTAGTGGAGGAGGAGTGGCAGAGGTGGAGTATGCACAGAGTGGGGATCAAAGCTCTGAGAAGCAGCGCTGCTGGCAGAGTCTCCCCACACTCCAACCCCAGTTGCTATTTTTCTCCCAACTAGGCAAACACAAACACATGACCTTGGGGGTTTGCATAACAGTCTTTATTGTTCATAATGAGCCAGCTCTAGACTCACAAGCAGGTGTAGTGGGAAGGCAACTGGGAGGCTCTCAGATGCCCTGGGAAGGGCTGGAAGAGGCAGAGGATGTGGAACCAGGAGGGGGTGGGGAAGGAGAGATGGAGCAGGAGCTTGCCACGGCAGTGAGTGTGACTGGTCAGTGCCAGGGCAGACTCTGGGGTAGGCTATTGACAGCCTTCTGCTGATGGGGTGATTGAGTGATTGATTGATTAATTGATTTCAGTATTAGAAAATGAATCCAGGGCCTTCATACTGAACTATATCCCTAGACCATTTTATTTTTTTATTTTGAGACAGAGCTTCACAAAATCACTAAGTTGTCCAAGTTGGACTTGAGCTTGCCATCCTCCTACCTCAGGTCCCAGAGTGCTGGGATTCCAGGCATGCACCACCACACCAAAACTTTGTCCCCCATGAATGCTGAATCCACCCACCTGGGATTACTCCCTCCAGAAACCTGTTTCTGCGAGCAAATCAAGTGTTGCTAAATGCTGGTGACCAGGTTCTTGGCAGCTAATGCAACCGGTGCTATTATTTCCCACAAGGTAGAGGGGAGCCATTGAGCCTTACCCTGGGCACTCAACACAGGAAAGGTGATGCCTGGCCTTCTCCTCCTCTATCTGACCCCACAGCCCAACTCCAAATCCTCTCCCAGGAATTTTAAGCTCACAAGGCTCCTGATTAGAAATGCAGATTCCCCTCACTCAACTCTCCCAGGTTCCACCAGGGGCTCAGGGCTGGGGTTCAGGAACCTCCACACACCGCCCCTGGTGGACAGTTGCAGTCCTGCATCTCCCCACCCATCACGCGCATTCCTTCCCAGGGTGCACGCTTTCCCGTGAGCTCCAGGGTCCAGACAGCATTTGCGTCTCTCTCAAATGCCAGTGGTGTGAACTTCCGCCAGGTTCCTAGCTTTTCTGCATCTCAGTTGTCTCACCTATGAGACGGTCCTGTCTCTTAAGACGGTTGTGAAGATGCAATAAAATATGAAGACAGCATCTTGTGCAGTTTTTAATAAAGATACCAAATATATGGTGTGAGCTAAATAAACCTTTCCATCCTTCATATTGAGTGTCGGGTATTTGTCCCAGCAATGAGAGAATAGTAACTGTTCACAATGGTGGACATTTTCAATGGTTTTAGGATACTGAAACAGCCAGGACAGCACCACTAAAGACACTCAAGAGACAGGACTGTTAGAATGGTTTCAGGGCCCTGGGGAGATAGGTCAGCGGTCTAAGCACCTGCCCGGCAAGCACAAGCACCCAGGTTCAATCTCCAGGACTGTATGCCGTACCAGCCCAGCACTGTGCTGACCACTGTGTGTGGGGGTGCTCATCTGTAATCCCACTGTTCGGGAGGCTGAGACAGGAAGATCCCTATGAGTCTGATCTGTGTAGTGAGACCCTATATCAAATAAATAAATAAATAAATAAATAAATAAATAGAATGGCTTCAGAAAGTGGTCCACTGACAGGGATAACTGCTTCAACTGAGGGGGAGTGTTTTAGGGGATTAGTGGCAATGCATCTTGTACTATGATAAAAATTTAAATTTCTGGTTTAAACATTTATTGTATATTTAGCTCACACCATGTATTTGGTTTGGCACAGGGCAGAGGACATCAGTTCATGGCAGTGGCAAAGAGCATGAGCAAAATGGAGGAGTAAGAGCAACAATAGCAACAAAGAGAGAGAGAGAATCTGTCTCTCTGTCTCTCTTGTATTACATTCAGGATATCTGCCTCAGGCTGGAGGAAAGTACTCACAGCCATAATCCCAGCAGTACTAAAACCCATAATCCCAGTGGATCATGAGTTAATCTCAAGCTCTAGAAGTCCTTGCCCCATGACTGCATGAGGCTTTGGGAGGGATAACTAGACACAAACCATCACAACCATTCATGGTAATTTTGATTTTAAGGAAGAGCCAAAAGCCACTTGGTGCCATATGTAGTGAATAAGATGAGACTCACTGTCATGCTTTTATTTGGCATAAACTTCTGCAGATATTTTGACTCAACTGAGGACATGGAGGCAGTCACAATAGCACAACGAATGACACTCATGAAAGAGTACTACCAGAACTGTTCCAGAAAGTGACTGGAATGAATGGTGGGATAAGTGTGTTTGAAGTGATAAGGGAGTATTTTGAAGGAGATTCACAGCAATGTGTCTTCTACTGTAATAAATTTTTAAAATTTAAACATTGTAGGGGTTTTTTAGTTTTTTTATTTTAGGGAAGGGTCTACAGGGCGTTCAGGGTCTCACTACTAGATCAGACTCATAGTGATTCACCTGTTTACAGCCTCCCAAGAGCTGGGATTACAGACATGCACTACCATGTGCAGTCTTTACTGCTGTCTCAGCAGGCCCCAGGGGCAGAGACAGCAGGGCAGGCCCAGGGATCGAGCCCCTGGCCCCTGTGCCTGCTTGCAGGTGCTTTAATCTGCTGAACTATTTGACCGGCCCTAAACATTGTAGTTTTTTATCACATCCACATATTAGCATACACGTATTAATATAAAATACCCTTCTTGTGAATTGTTTTGTCACAAATTTATGGAATAATTTATTTCAAACTTAAAACTTTTCACGTTATTAAAAACATGGAAAAGATGGGCCCTGAGTTATGGTGTTACCTGACTTTGTGTTTTATAGGAAGTACGGAAGTTGACACAAGAGAAGGCCATACGTGTTGTCACGAGGTCCACAGCTGTGGTAAGTGGGCTTCAGTGGCATGCCAGCCTTGCACAGGGCATGCCTGCCTGTCCTTGCTATGCTCCTACACCCCAAAGGCCAAGGCTGCCCTGGAGAGAAGCCCACCCAGTGTTTGTCCTAGGAACACGAGCTCCTTTCCACAGCTTCCTCCTGCCTTCTCCCCTTTAGGAGGGTTTCCAACTTGGGCACAAATTCCATCTTGACATTCAGGGCTGGAAAATCTTGTTGTAGGGGCTGCCGTGTGCTTTGTGGTGTCCATCAGTGTGCTTCATGGTGTCCATCACTGTCCTCTACACATTTGGTGCCAGCAGTGCCATCCATCCCTCCCCAGCTGTGATTATCAGAAATGTCTCTTAGCATTGCCAAATGGCCTCTGAAGGGTAAAACAACCCTCAGTGGGAACATTCCTCTGGAGGAGGCTGTGCCCTCCTGCCCCTCCACTACCTATAAATATGACCTCAGGCTTCGTGCTTGACCTTGATATGCCTAATTAATGGTGGTGGGATGCTAATAGAATTACTGCATGCAAAGCACCTGCTACCAGCCTTTGCCTTACTAAGAACTGGATAAACTCAACATCATCGCTATACATCTCGCCTAATTTGTCCCTTTGGAAAGATATTTCTAGGCAAATAATTCATGGTGGGAAAATCAGCCCCAGTTTAAAAAAAAAAAGTACAACAAGAACAAGAAGCAAAAATGCAACCCTTTAAAGCCCAGTTCCATCCTTGGCGCTGGAGACCCTGGCAGGAAGGACACAACGATCCCCAGTGAAAGGACCCTGACCCTCCCATCTGTGGCCTCTCTGCAGGCCTGCCTCCCTCCTCACTCTGGTGCCAGGCATTGAAGGAATTATTGATTTGGTCACATGAAAATAAAAGGAAGGCAAATCTCTTAGTCATGACTTACTGGATTAAGCAAATAAAAACACAAATTGTCCAGTTAAATTATTATTTTTTTTTTAGTGTAAGCATGTCCAGTACAATATTTTTATGTGAAATCCTATGTTTGGGGGTCATAGGGGTTTGTTGTACAAGGTTGATCCATGTTAAATAGCAACATGCAGGCATTTCTACATAATTGATTAATCAATCACAATGTCTGCTTCGCAGATCATTATTTAATTCAGTGCTTAATTAAGGACTGGAATAGCCAGTTCAGCTAATCTGCTTATATTGTTGGAGAAGAAATTGAAACACCACCGGAACCCAGGGCCTGCCACCTTCACAACTCTGAGCAGAAATGGAGAAAAACAGGATGTGTCTTTTATCCTTTTCAGTGTGGGTCGAGAAACATTTTCAGGCTGTTGTTTATTTGATTAGCACAAACTTCCTTGGCATTAACTCAAAGACTAATTAGGATTTTACATTTTTTAAATTTGTGTCACCAGAACTGAAAGACTAATTCGACAGGCAGGATTCCAATAATTACTAGCAAGAAGCCAAAAGAAATTCTACTGAACAATTCAACATTTAAAATAAAAAAAAAACTGCCCAATTTATTTACTCTCAGGATTAGAACTATCAAGGAAAAACTTAATCAGAAAATGCAAATGAGCATCTCTAAAAAACTTCAGAAAACTATCAACTGCAATTAATCCACGTGATGGAACTAAGGACCCAAGTGGGAAAGCAACACATAGTAGGGTTGCCAGCACATTGTGTCAGGCTGTGAGTATCCAGGCCAGAAGGGAAGCAAATGCTCCAGAAATGTACTGGATCTCCTGGGAGCTCTGTGTGGATTTAGGGAGCGCCAGGTCTGCAGATAACTGAGTACCTGAGTTACACAACCAACCTACTTTCATTTTCCCTGCTACAAAACATGTAGGGAATTTCTGCTATACAGAGGAGAAGACTGAAGCTTATTGACTTGTCCACTCCACATAGCTAGTAAGTCAGGAGGGCATCGTTGAAGTCCAGAGCTATGTCCAAACTTTCTGCAATGCCTGTAGTGCCCCGGCCAAGCTTCCTCAGTGCTGAACGGAGGGACACCGCTGCCTGTAGCCCAGGCTGTATGGCTAAAGGAGTGACTGGGGAAGACCCGAGCAGCGAGCACCGGAGCCCTGATCACAACACTACCTGCTTAGTGGAGTCAGCTGGAAAGACTAAAAATTGCTGATGTCCAAACCTCAGCCCAGGCCAATTAAAACTAGGCAGTACAATACACCAAAAGGGTGGAAAAGCACTTCACCATGCAGAAATTCCATTTCAGTTTAGCTGCATGTAGAAGGGTGTCTACTCTCCCCATTTGACCTTCTCTTTAGGCCACTCACCACAATTTCCTCTATTCCTTTTATTCCTTTCTTTTTTTTCAGAACCAGGGATTGAACACAGGCCCTTGCGCTTGCCAGGGAAGCACTTATTCCACTGAGCCATCTCCCCGGCCCCCTCTATTCCTTTTTTAGTAGAATGTTTTAAAAGTTTAAAAAAACTAGAAATGATACAGCATTTCACTAAACAAAGTAGTAGGTATTCAACAATGGTTGTTATAGTGCATAACGCTTTCTTCAAACTGGTTGTTTAGATTATCAAATAGAAGCGTGCAAAATTGGATTTTAAAAAGTTATAAGATTATATATCAACCATTGTTAATCAACTATTCTTGATTTGAAAATCTATAACATATGTACTGCTGTATGTTGCCCTGTTTCTTTCTTTGCTTCTGATTTTTGTTCTTGCTTTGCTTTTACTTTTCAAAATAAAATTAAATTTTTAAAAAAGTTATGGCATTAAAAAAAGAAAAAAATTAAGCATTTACTGCTCCTTTCTATAGAAATCAGCAGTACAATTACCCAAGCTATCCTATAACTATACATGACATAACTCTTCCCCTTCCTTCTTTCCTTTGTCCTTTCGCTCATACTCCTGATGCGTCGGTTGTTCTGCATTCCTTTAACACCATGACATGGGGGCAGCTCAGGAGGTGCACGGATTCTGGTTGAATAGATTGCAAGCCGAACAGGCTGCTTGACTCCAGTCTCCGGGGACACCCCAGACTCCAGACTTCCCTTTATGTGGAACTAGACGCAGCCACATCCAGTATTTTAAATCTATTCCTGAATTAACAATAGCCTGTATTTCTGTCCCTGTCTAGCAAAGCTCAAATTAAAAGGAGAAGACTTAAAAAATGTACAAGCAGGAATGGCTGCAGGGCTCTGCTGGGTCTGTCTTTGTTTTCTTTGCAAGAGTATTGTCTGGAGGTCGACGTGGGGGCAGGGCTGGGGGCAACTGTACCTCCTGCTCTGTGATAAGACCGCCAGATAATTAAAACTTCTGCCTAAACAGCAGGCTTTCTGGGGTGTCTGCGGACAGGCTACCTCATCTATTACCTAATCCCCAGCCCCGATTTCTGCACAATGAGTATCAGAGACAGCTGCAGCCTTAGGATGGATTTGACAGTGAACAGCTGTGTAATTAGAAAATTGTATCCTATTGTGCCTCTTGTATAGTAATTATAAGACTGTTCGTATAAATTTGTGTGCATGTTGGTGATGATCAGTGTTAAAATCTACATTGTCATTATGATAATGAGACTGAGACCTTTGGACTAAAGTGAATATTCAAAGAAGTAGCTCAGACACCCAAAGGTGACCTGACTTTGCACTTCGGGTCCCAGAATGTATCTATTCTCCCTACTGATATTGTACATAATCTCAGTGAGTGTTTCTCTGCTTATGTGACTTCAGTCCTAATCTCCATCAGGCCCCAAGGCTTTGCTCGACTTTCTGAACGCCCCTTCTTTTCAGTGCCACTACACTCACCCCATGTGACAGCAGAGGTTCCCAATGTGTAGCAGTTTCGTTCCTCACTCCCACCCTAGGATGAAGGTATCTGACAAAGTTTGGAGACAGGTTCGGTTTTGGTTTTGTTTGTTTGTTTGGTTTTTTTTTTTTTTTTTTTTTTTTTTTTTTTTTTTTTTTGCAGAACTGGGGACTGAACTCAGGCCCTTGCGCTTGCCAGGGAAGCGCTTATTTCACTGAGCCATCCCCCCAGCCCTCAGGTTTGGTTTTTTCAAGCATTCTTGCTAACAATGTTATTCATAGTAGCCAGGATTGACAATGTTCTCAACCTGTGTTTCTCACAGTGGAATACTAACCAGCTATGAGAAAAAGAATGAACTTCAGGTATTTGCAACAATATGAAAATGAAAGAGATAGAAAACAACAGCTCCCACTGTCTGATTCCATTCATATGAAATTCAAGAACACAAAAAGCAAATATAATCAGGTGCCACACATTGACATTCTCAACAACAACGGGCCGCAGAGAGGGGGAGGAGCCCAGGAGAGCATTTGTGCCGCTGGTTTCTAGTGGGTAGGGGATATCATGGCACAGAGCAAGGACAGGCCACATGCCAGCAACTGGATATTCAGCCCCTGTGGCACGAGGGCTGCAGCTACGAACCCTGGGATCTGACTCCAGCATCCCGCATGGCTCATGAGCCTCCTCACACCCCCAAGGGGTATCCTTTGAGACATGAATGTAATTCCTCAGCCTGACACCTTCAAGGCTTCTGCGGGATCCTCAGAGTGACAGGTAGATGTCCCTGGGGGAGGGGGCTGTCATGATGTCTCCTTCCTTCCCTGGTTCACTATTCCTAGCTGACAATACTCCAGCCAGGCAGAAATACCACTGGGTCCCGTAACACATTCACCCTTCCCAGATCTGAGCAATATCACACTTCTCTGTATTAGTGGTCACCTGGGGACCTTGTTGGCATCGCAGCAGGTGGGAGAGGCCTGAGACTCTATAGAGGCTCCTGATGCCAGTGCTCCTAATCTGCTGTCACACACAGAGCAGGGAGTCTCAGACCTCTACCAGCACTGGAAGGACAGTGAAAGAACAGACTGCCGGGACCACCCCGGGGGTTCTGATCCAGTGAATCTGAGGGACTGACGACAGCAAGGCTGTGGACTGAGCTGCAAACCTCAGGATATCTGTGTCTTGCTCCTCAACTGCCTCCTCCTTGCTTAAGATCTGGGATTTCTGCATTCTCTGCCAGGTTTCTGGGGACCCCTGTGAATGCCTCCACCACAATGGATCCTGTAGAAGGATCCATAAGCTGGGACGTCCACTAGACCTGTACTTGGTGGACAGGGACAAGGACTGCTCCTCTGTCCCCATGCCTTGTATAGAGACTGTGGCTCTAGTCAAGATTGCTCCTCTGCTCCTGGGAACCAGTGCAGGCATCTACCTCACAGACATTCGCAGACTTCACTTGTATTCTGGAAAGCTGGCCAATTCTCCTTCACAGGGTCAAAATATATCCAGCATACACAGCTACCTAGTAGCCATCCGGGGACTCTCTGAGCTGGAGGGATCTTCACTATTACTTCTGCTTTCCAACTTTTCCTACCCTGTTATCTTCTCTTTCTTTTATCTGAAGAGAGCATGATAGAAACTACTGTCATTCTAAAAACATTTCTTAGTAAAAATCCAGAGGTTTTGGTTTAGTATACATCTGGATTCTTGTCGAACCCACTGTCTGAACTGGTTCATGCCTGGAATCCCATCATTTGGGGAGGCTGAGGTAGAAGGATCACAAGTTCCAACCCAGGCTGGGCAATATAGCAGGCCATTGTCTCATCATCATCATCATCATCAAATTTAAAGGGCTGGGGTTGCAGCCCATGCAAAGGCCATGTGTTCTATACTCAATCCCCACCTGCTCCAAAGAAAACAAAAACAAAAGAAAGACTAACATCCCCTCTCTTCTACACACCTCTCTACTCATCTATGAAGGAATCTTCCTTTTTCCCAAATTCCTGACCCTATCTCTTCCGTCGTCTTCATTTTGCCCCATCAGAGCATGGAAATGTTTTATTTGAAAGCATTATTTTTTCATTTTCAACCCCTTTCCCCAAGCACTTGAGTAGAGGATGCTGTGGTCAGAGGGGAAGCCACCAAGGTCAGGCCAGGCCGTTCTGGGAAGAGGTCCAGGGGGCGGGCAGGAGGGTGGAAAGACGGGCCAGGGGCTGGGGGAGTGCTGGAAGGGGGTGCCTGCAGGCTCAGAAACCAGCAGGAACCACAGCATGGAAGGCGAAGTCAGTGTAGCCTGCGGAGCAGATACAGGAAGTAAACTGAGATGAGCAAAGTGGAGCGATCCTAGAAGAGACATGCAGAGATCCAGACTACAGATGGACTCTGATGGGAACCCACTTCTCAACTTAAATATCTGTCTTTTTATTGCCTTTCTTCTCTCCCCTTCTAGAAATATCTTCAAAGCGGTTCTGATATTTGCTCACTCCCATTTTTGGCCAAGATTTGTCAGAAAATTAAACTGTAAGTACGACCGTCTATTTTCCGCACCTTGCGAGCACACAGTGACGTCTTGGCTTGTCTCCATTTGCCTGTGCTTAGAATGATGTTCACATCCAAGAGGCATCTCCCTAGAGCTGATGCTCTTCCTGCTCCAATCAGGGCTAGCACAGGGACTAGACCACGAGCTAGCTCCTGCAAACACACATTGGACACGCACGGGGCTGAGAAGACTCTGTGAGCCTCCCAGCATGCTCTGCACTTGGCAGTGTGCTGGTGAGCTTTCTCTGCAGCCCTATCACCTCCTTTATGACACTGGGGACAGTGTCCCCTTGCCGTGGAAGACACAGACCTGGTTGTCCACAGCTTAGGACTGGGACCTGGAGCACCTTTGGTGCAAAGCACTCAGGAGGAAGGAGACTGTTTTCTTCACAGAGCCCAGAAGACTGTTACCTGGCAACTCTGAATCAGACACATAGAACAAGATTCTAGATAGGACACTGTCCAGAATTCCTAAGTTCTCCATCTCAGTTTAAAATCCCATATCTAGCTCCACTTTTCATCTTGGGTTGAGCTATATGTCACAGAACCACTGATCAAAATGTGAAGAGACCAATAGTGATTTGAGAGAACACTGGGTAGAGAGGTAAAGTAGCATAATTTCTTCTTTCCCCATGTATTAGTCAGCTTTCCATGACTATAACAACTACCTGAGACAATCGAGTTAAAGAGAAGAAAGGTTTGTTTGGGCTCATGGGTTTGCAGGTTTTAGTCCATGACCAGCTGGCTCTGTTACTTTGAGCCAATGAAGGCAAAGTACATCAGGATTGGCGCACATAGCACAGAGGGCCTGTTCACCCATGGCCGAGTGTGAAAGAAGCACAGGAAGAGATCAGGGTCCCAGGCCCCCTCCTGCAGTCATTTAGGCCGAACCATCTACACAGCCCCTGATGCTTGTGCTGTCCCTCTCCTGTAGGAGCCCCTTTTCTTTTAGCCCCTTCTGCTGCAGCCTGGCCCTCACAGAAGCAGAGATCAGACCTCAGAATGTGCAGAGTGACAGGCATCTGCACATCAGGTCCAAGAGGCTGTAATAGCTTCTCACAGTCGCTATAACAATGTGCTGTAATCTGGGTGGATTAGAACAACAGAAGCTTATGTTGTCTCAGTTCTGGAAGCCAAAAGTCTAAAGTCAAGGTGGCAGAAGAGGCAAGCTCCTGTAAGGCCAAGTGGACTCCTTCCTGCTGACTTAGCTTCTCACGGTGGCTGTTAATCCTCGTACATCTTGATTTATAGCCACATCACACCAATCTCTGCCTCCCTTTTTCCCATGCCACTTTCCAAGGTGTCCCTTTTCCTTCAATAAAGACCCCAGACCTATTGGACGAGGGCCACCCTAAGGGCCTCCTCTTCACTAGCTCACATCTGCAAAGACCCTGTTTCTAGATAAGGTCGTGGGCTGGCCAAATAGCTTAGCAGATTGAAGTGCCTGCTTAGGCAGACTCAGTGGCCAGGACTCAATCTGGCATGCCATGCAGGCCCCACCCCCAGGGCACGCTGAGACACCTATTGAGACTGGGTGTGGTGCCGCACACCTGTAATCCCAGCACTTGGGAGGCTGAACACAGGCAGATCACTATGAGTCCGATCTACATAGTGAGACGCTGTAGACCCTGTAGACTTCGTATTAAAATACTAAATAAATGAATAAGGTCACACTCACCGGCACCAGGGGTTAGAACTTCACCACTTTCGCTGAACATAAATCAACCCACGTCCTACCACCCTTCCTCTCTTGAGCTTCATGGGAGCCAAGCCTACTGAACATGTCCCAACTGCTGGGAAAACATCCAGAGGGAGGAGCAAGCAGCAGTGGTTCTGACCCACATCCGCAGCCTCTTAGGGGCCCAAGGGTTACAAACTTTGCCTGCTTCCTCTGGCAGCCAAGGCCCTCTGGCCAGCTGTGCCAACTGCTGGCCCGGATCCCAGAAACAGTAGCGCTTCTGCTGTTGTGTCGTGGGGGAGAGTCAGGAGCCTCTGGGAGCCGAGAGAAGGGAGGAAAATGAGACAGGAAAGCTGCTGGCGGCCACGCATGTCCTCATGCCTGGCTTCCCTCAGATCAGGACCCCTGCCCCTCCTCCGTGAACACATCATTGCGCTTTCTGTGTTAGACACGGGCCAGCAGGACCCAGTGGTCCCAAAACGACAACTCTTCAATGGAACCACTTTTGAAACATTAAATTCAAGAGCATCTGCAGCCAGGGATTTTCTTGGCCCAATTTCAGAGGGAAATTATTCTTTTATGAAAAAGAAAAGCCAAAACAGCGTGTTCTTCTCCTTTATTCAAAATCGTTTTGCCCCGAGTATAATTTGCAACACCTCTCAGTCCGTTTGCTGCTTCGTGATTTACAAAACTCCCTTACATACAGCCTCATTTATTCTTCAGAGTGACCTCTGCCTAGGTAATAATAATAACTAAAATTTATTTGGTGTTGTCTGCTTACCAGAAGCTGCTGTAAGTACAGCCCACTAAGGCAGACGTCATTTCTGTCATCCTCCAAGGGAGGAAAAGGTATTTGGCCAAGGCCACAGAGCTGGCAGTGAATCAGCCTCATCATTGAAGGCGCACCTGACCCTGCTTGGCCTCCTGAAGCCCCAGCCTCACTCCTCAGATGAGAGAGAAGGTTATAAAAGCCTGACCCACTTGGGTGCATTCATTCGCTGTGACATTCTCAGCACTGCAAGACGCCCTGTGTTCAAAATGACCTGTAATAAATCCTACACGGGGCCAAAATTCCACCTCCAAATTTCACATTCCAGGAAGTACCTTGCCTGATAAGAAACTGTTCTAGCTGGGAAGCCATTTGCCATTTAGGAGCTGGGCCAGTCTAGGAGTGCTGTCCCAGGGGAAATGCTCCCTTATGGAGTGGGATGATTGGGCTGGTCACTGCCACCAGGCCCTGTGGGTACCCAGGCTCATACTTGGGGGTAGAAGTTGCCAGCTAATGACAGCTAAATGTCTCCAGATTCCCAGAGTATCCGGAGGGAGTACAGAGAATATGTAAAGGGACACGCATTCACTTTGTAAAGCCAAGTTCACTAACCCGACTTTGAACACAGTCTCCGGTCTCCTGGCCATTCTCACATGAACAGTCCACGCCCTCTCCAGCTTCAGTTCTCTCACCCCCACCTCCACCCCCACCCCCACGTGGGCCACATCAAGCAGCAAAGAGAAAAGACTTCTGTGAAGGGGAGAGTGGAGACCGGCCGTGTTTGGCTGGCACACCCACACCACGTGGACCCTCAAATTTATTTTTAAGTGCACCCTCTGTCACATGAATCCAACACAGCCCTCTCTGAAAATGGGTCTGTTCGATTTTACAGTCATCAGCTTCTTTTTCCCTGAGCCCACCACGGTGTTTTCATTTCTCTCTTCTAGATCTATACAGACTTCTATGCCATTCAAAGATGTTGACGCAGACAAATACAGTGTTTTCCCGGTAAGCATTGTCCCAAACACCAGATGTACCCTGAATGTTCTGTCACTCCCTGCAAATTTCCTTCCTCTAATAAGAACAAGGCTGAGTTTCATTTGGATACATTATTACCTTGGTGAAAAATACATCATTTTGCAATGTTCAGTGACTTTCTAGGGTTAGAACAATGCAGATTCCATTGAAGTGAATCTTAAACCCATATTTTGCTGACTTTTTATGTTTCCATTCTAGCTGGAATTCTCCAGGAATTATTATCATATTGAAAGGTTTTATGATTTATCCTGGGAATTCGCAGCTCTATTTTACCTTACTCTTTTGCATGCATGTGTTCTGTTGAGAGCTGATAGGACATCTATGCATTTCCTAGGAAAGCAAACAAGCAGGTGGTGTGCGTCAGACCCCAAATCGTGGGATCTCAGACTGACTTGGGAATGGGGGAAATGACAATATTCTTTGATGTAACTGCAATACTTCATTCTCTTAAATCAGTCAGATCAAATATAAACCCTCATAATTATCAGTTCAGCCAGATTATTTTTTAATTGTCCTATAAAGCAATTAAACATTTGGCCCAAACTAAGTGAATTATTTTAGACTCTGAGAAGATGGGTGGAATTTGAGGAAGATGGATGCTCCTGCTGTCTGGAGGTATACACCAATACATGCACCAACACATGTGCAAACAAAGACACACATGGCACTGGGGAAATAGCTAATGGTATGAGCACCTGCCTGGCAAGCACAAGGTCCTGAGTTCGATCCCCAGTACCAAAAATAAATAAAAATTAAGACACACCATGAACATTTACATACATATGAACTGCAATGTGCATACATATATGATACACATGTTCCGTATCACATACATCCACACATGTGTACATGCACACACACAAGAACACACTCACCATTACACACACACACACACACACACACATGCACACACACACACACACACAGGCCCCCACTCCCACCTGTTACTGGTCCTGATATGATGGTACATTTCAAATCACACTGCCTGTCTTCTAATAATCCTCATTTTGTTGGTGGTCACCAGTGTTCCTAGCCTGTATTTGAATTAAAGACTGCAGAGGTCAATATCCTTCAGCCAGTGCTTATTAACCTTCATGTGAATAACTTCAAAGCAAGCCTGATTCCCACACCATGTATGTATTACAATTTCAGACCCTGCGGGGCTACCACTGGCGAGGGAGAGACTGTAACGACAGTGACAAGACCGTGTACCCAGGCAGAAGGTAACTCTGTCAGGCTCTGAAAATGACCTCCTACAAAGGAGAAAGGAAGCATCTTCCCCTCCAGGAGTAGGCAATTCCCACTTAGAGAAGGGAGCTCTGTGCCTCTGTAGCTCAGTGAAGAAGAACAGCATTCACTCATTCACTCATTCATTTATTCATCATTCATCCCCAAGAGATTCTTATCAAGCACCTAAGATCTGTGCATAATTGTACATCGGGTTAGTGGTAAAGGAAAGAGAAATAGACCCCTTCCCAAGGGCATCTAGGAGTGCAAAGCGTGTCACACTTTACTCCTGGGTTGATGTTCAACCATTCACATCAAAAAATGGAATTCAAAAAAAATAGAAATGTCACCTTTAACTTATTCTGTAATTGCAGTGTCAAAGCATTAAATTCACCAGAGATGTGTCATTTTAGAGGCACAATTTGAACAGTCCCCCCACTTTCCAAGTAAAACTGATGGCAGATGTGTTCACCAGCACCCTGCCCCACTTATACAGTCCCCGAGAAGAGCCCTTCCTAGAAAGACTGGGTTGGGTTCCAGCTTCCTCACAAATACAGCCTCATTGAGCTAAGGGCAAAGGGTTCAGCAGAGGCTTCTGTGTGCAGCACACACACAGGTGTCAGGTGTGCCTGCTGGCAGGAGACTACTGCCTTCCAATAATGCACTGTGTAGCCCTCGCGCATCCATCTAACAAACATTCACTGAGTCGAGCTCACACCAAAGGTCAACGCTGATGTTTCCTTCTTAGGCCAGACAACTGGGATGTCCATCATGACTCCAACTGCAATGGCATCTGGGTAAGCAACTACATTCAGGTTTGACACCCCGTGTTTTACTTTCTGCTCTCCCTGAAGGCCCGTTGCTTGCGCAGAGGTCCCACATAAGGAAAGGGGCAATAGCCTACAGTCACTGTCTTGCTGCTGTTCGGAAGATGGTGTGAAATCCTCACCACATGTAAAGAACATCAATGATGAAACAAGAGCTGAGACTGTCACAGCCCCTTACGCTTGCTGGTGGTCATCCATGTCCAGTCCCCTCATTCTGTTCCAAAGATGTGAAATGAAGTGGTTCAGTATTAGAAAAGTTCACCACCACTCACCCTACACCATGACCACTGTAACAACACAGCCATTCTTCTCTGCTCCATAAGCCTCTTCAACAGAGTAAGCTTTTTCATGCTCGTGCCACCACCCACACCTCACAGCATCTGACGTTGGTGTCCCAGACCCCAGCAATAGTGGGCTCACAGCTTCCAGGAAAAGGGCAGGAAGCAGTAAAACAGGCCAGATATCCCTGAATACAGCAATGATGCAAGAACCATGCTTTGCAGGATCTTAGGTTTACAAGATTTCCAAGGTCCTCAAGAGGACATGAACAGAAACCAGGCAACAGGATCACAAGTCTAAGCCCAGCCTGGGAAATGTAATGACCACTCCACATAGACCCTGTCTCAAATTAAAAATTAAAGAAGGCAGGGAGGTAGGGTCAATATAGAGGCTCTGGGTTCAATCCCACAATCGAGAGAGAGAGAGAGAGAGAGAGAGAGAGAGAGATCAACTTACAAATAAAATACAAGATTATGAATGAAAGTAAGTAATTACTTAGAACATTAAATAAATCCCTAACACAGTACTGAAGTCTCATAAATTTAGGTCCCTTTTTTGGAGACCTTTTATTAGACTACGCAGAAGTGCTTGCATGGAAACAGATCTGGATTGCAGCCTGGTCCCTCCCTCTCCACCTAGAATACTCTATAGCTCCCAGCCCCTCTCAGCACTCCTGTAGGCAGGAGCTATGTAACCAAAGGGCCTTGATGTTTATCCAACCTCAAGATAAATGTTCACCTGGTTTATCTGCTTGGATGAAGGGGCAAAGTTCCTATGAATATCATCCTTGCTCCAGGACCCTAATAGTCCAGGTTTATGCCAGCAGTTACCTACTATGTTTATTGTGGTTTTGCAGTTCCTGATACATGGAAAGGGTGACAGACAATTGTACTCAGGCACATTAGCCTTCAGGGAAGAGAAGATCCCTGCCCTAGAGCTTTAAGGTCGTAAGACCCCTAAGGCAGCTTTTGTTCTGATTACTGGATGGATGACAAAGGGCACTGATCTGTGTGCAGAGCTGTCACCTTTGTCCTACGGTCTCACCACAGCTCTGGTTCCCATGAAAGGAATAGGCAATGCAAAGCCCAGAGGAAACCCAGCTGACCTCAGGAGGGCAAAGCCAGAGGGTCCCCTCAGTGATGGGAGAAACACACCTCCCAGCCATGTCTGTGCCCTTTCCACAGGAAAAGCGGCCCCCAGAATTCCAAAATCAGGAACAAAGAGGGGATTTTACCACCATTAAGGCCAATATTGCTCTAATTGAACCCACAGAGCCCAGGAAAGTGATTTTACTACTGTGAGCCCATTTCTGGCCACTCTCGTCTTGGGACACTTGTCCCTTCCAAGGGATAGTTGCCCCACTACAGGACCTCTCTAGCTTCAAGAGGTTTTGGTCATGTAATTCAGTCATGCTTATAGGCCCAACTTCCTTTCCAAGTCTCTTAATCTTGGCACTATTGCCACTAGGGTGGGATCTGTCTTCATTGTTGGGATTATCTTGTAAATGTAGTATGCTCAGCACCCTCCTTCACCACTGCCCACTAGATGCCAGGGGAATTTCTACTCTGCAGTGACAACCAATTATGCCTCTAGACACGACCAGTGTCTGCTGCATTGGCTGTGAGGTGAGAGGGTGTAAGGGAAAATCACCCCAGTGGAGATTTATTTCTCTGGAAACAAGAGTCAGCAGGGCCTGGAGCTGCAGGACTGCAGAACCCCCTGTGTCTGCACCCCTTTAGCCACCCTCAGTGCTATAGGGTGCAGGGGGTGCAGGATGGGGGCCTCTTCCAGGAGTTGCCTCCCAGCCTTGTGAAGAGGAGGCAAATTCCTACCCTTGGTTCCTCTTAAGCCCAGCTCTCACACTCATAACGTATGTACCTATGTTGGATTAGGGGCTCGAGAGATTTTCAAGGGTTTTATCTAGTGATTTATCTTTGCACTTTTAAAACCAGCCAGGAAGGACTTAGCATATGCATCTCCTAACTTTCAAAACCTACACAGCTAATCTCATCAATCCTCTTTTCAAGGGCGTGGATCCCAAAGATGGAATTCCTTACGAGAAGAAGTTCTGTGAAGGTAAGAACTGTGGAAGTCTGTGCTTGTTACCCCAAAACGGTCCTCTCTGTTGGGTCAAATTGAAATGAACAGGCCATTCTGAGAGGAAGTTCCTGAGCTTCAGGTTAAGGCGGCTGATTGACATTTGTGTTCAGGACACGATACAAGAGAAGAGACAGAATCTAGCAAACAGCAAACTGAGTTTGCCTAGTGGGATCTTTTTTCTTGGGAATGGAAACACAAGTGATGGTGTCAGAAATGGCTGCAGGACAGGTAAGGGTGACTGAAATCTGGGGCTTTCCCAAATATAAATACAAGGAGAGGTGAGACCAGAAATGTGTCACAGTAGCATGCCGTTGTCACTCCTCTATAAGATCAGGCACGTGACGTGGCTGATAGCAGGGGTCCCTGTGTCCACCAGGCTAGAGATGCAGGTTTGAGGGGCTCAAGGGAGATGATGAGCTCTGGCCTGCAGAGCTTCTCGAAGGTGACTGCCGAGAAACAGTTCCGCACCCTGAGTGCCCCTGTGCCTCACACCCCGGAGCCGCCAGTACCATCTGGAGAAAACTCAGCATACCATGTCCTTGGTTTTTTTTGTTTTTTTTTTTCTTTTCAAAGTTTTATTGATAAACATATAGCAATGAGACAGTTTCAAATCAAATCGAAAGTACAGTTTCAA